TTTTTTTTGTTACAAATTTACGCATAGTAGATAGGTGCAGTCGCATTCTCAATTTTGTATACTAATTCAGAGCCAAGTATTTTTGCTGTCTCCTCCCAGTTTTCGCGATGAGTACGTCGAAATTCTCGGATAGCAGTAGTGGCGGCTTTCTGGAATTGCCCATAATGATGACTAGTGAAATCAGATTTAAGAAACACGTGCGAAGCATTTTACCTACTTAATTAAAGTTGAACCTTAGGAGCCTCAACGTACTCCATTTTGCGTTCTAACGCTTATCAAACAAGAAAACTTACTTGAAGCTCTGCATTGTGACTGGTTATACCACAGAGAGATTTTAATAATGGCTTAATGTCAGGTGGGGTCGTAAATGGAAATGCTCTAACAACAGCGCCCATTCCTAATATAGCACCGTGTAATGTAGACATGTTCTTGTTCTTCATCATATCATTTAAATACTTCTGTAAAAAACTTTTTAGAGAAATTGTTTTTTTGACATTAAATTAATATAAATCATCACACGTACTAAGAGTTTCTTATCAACCTTAATGTATTTGCATAGCAAAAGAGTCAGCATAGCTCGAGAAGCTTCGGCTCGAACTTCCATCTGCAAGGCATTTTTTTCGTTAGGGTGGAAAAGTTTTTCGAAATAACGGACCTGGCGATCAATAATTGCATCAAACAATAGTCTCATGACCTTAGCAGTACGTCCATGATGCTCAAGTTCGTAGATGTTGGAGAAAACGAGCGCTTGTAGAAACTTCAATACCGATATTTTGACACGCCAAACATATGCTGTGTAGTATGTCTAAAGATCCCAATGATTAAATTTCCCAATATTGTTATGAAAATTTTTAGGTAGTTTTTACATGCTCTACAAAAGTACATGAAACACGAAATCTTATCGCTACAAAAACTACATAATAACAAATGAGTGCAATTGAAGAAGGTAGGGAAAGTATATCTTCAAGAAAGGAAGCAATTAAGAAGGCCGCGTACACGCAACCATGCTCAAAAGGCAAAGTGTGCAGAGGGCTTAAAGGCCGTTGTTCTAGAAGTAAACTTGTTGGCAAAACCTTCCAGCCCTATCGGATCCAATAGACGGCTTGAGCAAAGATACTTGTTTCCTGTGAACTTTCGAGGCCATAGGATTTAGCGCGTTGCAGTGTAGAGGGGGTAAGAATGCAAGATTGAGACGAAAAAATCGTACCCTTCATCCAAATATTCGACTATTTGAAGACCCTGCGCCGCACTGATTAGAACTAAGAGGCTAGGAAGTTTTCAGAAGCACCTTCCTTTGAGTTCGGGATCCCGATTCTGCCAGGTTCAGCAGCAGTCCAGTTGA